GGCTCCCGCTCACACGTCCCGCTAACTCGGCCTCACTCCCGCCCTCTCCATCATTCTCTCTCCCTATATATAAATTGCTTAAAGATAGTGAGAGAGACTATCGGGTGATGCGGAGCCAGCTCGCCACCCCAAGGCTAGGGACAGGTTTGAAATTGAAAACCGGGTCTGCCTTAACAGCCGTTAGGGCAGGCAGTCCGTGAACTTGGTGTTCTGGGGCGGACAGACACATCACACAGTCAGACCTCCGTGAACAGAGATGTCTCGTCCCAATCACTCGCTGGCCGCCTCTGATCAGCGCCGGTTCGGTATGACGGTGCAACTACACAGACACATGCACACGAAGAGACGCCTGGGTCATTTGTTCCACCGGCAGACCTTTTGGCCCTTACCTCTGATTGGGCAGTTCGCCTGAGCCGCTGGGGCCTGACGAGCTGAGCTGCCATCGGGGCACGTCGCAGAAGGACATGCTAACAGGTCGGGCAAAATGCCATCTCCTCAGGCTCGGGCTGGCCACTGGTTGGCAAGATGGGAGGGGAGAGGAGTACTGAATCGAATGCGCCAGCCCCAATGCGACCGGTGGTTGCATCGGCAACTTGACGCCGCAATCCGTCGCCCCCTTGGATGGGCCAACTCGGTCGTCTGACAGGCGTTTATCGGCAGACCTCACTGACGCTCCACGCGTCTAAGTCCGAGTTCGGGTCTGACCGCCGCCAGACTCCGGCTTGGCATGGCAACAGAACGTGAGCTGGCCGGTTGATGCCGTTGTTGGGCCGAGTGACAAGTTAGCGTTCTCACTTGCCTCGTCGTGTCCAACGATCTGGTGGGACGAGAGGCAACCGGTTCGAGAGCCAGTGACGCCGAGGCAGAAGTGGCTTTGGGAGAGGCGATAGGAAACCAGAGGCGGCAGATGAATCATGGAAACGTTGGTAAATGACCATTTAAGACAAAATGACACGTCGTAACTGGCTTGACGCGTGAGTTGGATGGAAGGTGAAACAGTGAATAAACCATTCATTGCATTCGCGTATCCTACAAGCGTCGTCTGAGCGCTCGCTGATGGAGATAGAGGTGGCGAAGGCCGAGATGCCCCTTGTCGGACCCTCGCAACGGGACAGACTCAAGTCGGCCTGACCCAGACACAGGGAATTGACGATCGTGTCTCCAGGCCGCCTGACTACCAGTAACACAAGAAAGCTACAAGAGCCGGTTAATAGTGCCAAATTCACCTGTTGTACTTCTACTCCATGTTGTATACGAACTACGCCTCGGCAATCAACTCGATGCCAAGAAGCCTACCGGAAAGATAAGACTATAAATACGTATGAAAACTGGCTTTCGAAGTATCCCTCAATAGATTGATGTTGGAGTAGCTTTCATTTCGCTTGAAGAGGCGACTGAAAGAGATTCATAAATTGCCTTGGAAGTATGACTGAAGATTTGTTCGAGTTGGACCTCGGGGCAGCGCCCTGCAACACCGATGAATCCTTGCTGAGCTTTCCTCCGTCACATGACGGGACATCACCAAAACAGTATAGCATGTTATACGACAATTCACCAAGCACAAAGACAAGAAAGGTGGCCGGCTGCAATCCTGCCCACTTTCAAAGTTTGGCCAGGTCCACTTAGCGAGACATCTCACGATTTGGTTGGAGATCCTATACTTTTCTACCTGCTGTTGAAAAGTCAAGTGACTGACAATGAAGCGTCAAACGGATGCATTTGTTACTCAACATTTTCACCAAATCATGAAATTTATCACTAAGTAGAGAGGTTTGCGGCCGGCTACCTTTTTGTATTCGTGTTTTGATGAATTATCGTGCAGCTTTGACAATGTCCTTCACATGATGGACGAAATCCCAGCAACAATTCATCAGGTTCCAACACAATCCCGATGAGTTCCACATACGAATCCCTTCAACTTGCCTCTTTAAACGAAATGAAAGGTTCTCCAACATCAAAAGACGATAAAGACGTCCAAAGCTTATTGTTCGTTTGTGCATTGGTGATGAAGGTGCCGGGAGCAGGAGCATGGCAGGGAAAAGAACGCTAAAGTGGGGCGACCAAAAAAGGCATCATTGTTGGAGTTGTGCAGCCAAACAGGAAGATGCAGAAAGGACACGACTGCGGCGGCTCAACGCGAATAGTCGAGGCTGATGGGACATCGGCCTCACGGTCAAAGTTGCATTGCCTCTGCTGACGTAACTACAGAAGCGGAGATAAGCGGTAGCATAGACAGCCCCTCCGGCACTTGGAGAGGCAGGAAACAGTGCGCGTATTTAGCAGCCTTGACAACAGCTGCCAGGATGGCGATTACAACGTCGTCAGATTAGGAGGCTCCAGGCTATGGGTAGGACGAGTGGTGGAAGTTGCATGGTTGATTTTGAAGCGGGTCGAACGAAGGTGGCGCTTCACTTTGGCGCCGAACACTGGCGCGCAATAGTGAGGGCTGTTCGCCTCACAGAAGGCTGGCCTCAAACAGCACTAGCTGCATGATGAGCTGAGAGCACATTTGTGATTTGAATGCTGCCTTCTGATTGGTGCGAAAGGTTACGTTCAATGCTGTGACAAACATTTGATTGGCCGACGCAGATCGAAGAGTGAGCAATGTTGTCATACTCAAATGATCCAAGACTGTGCACGTGACCCAATCAAATTAGGCTGTTTAGTTTGAAGGAGCATAGACAGACAACTACATGCTCAGGGCCCATAAGTATAGGGCAAAATGTCCCCCTTACTCTGCAAGTCCTCGATACACACACAAAAAACAAACATACAGCGACGGAGGCGTGTGTGAAGAGCAGAAGAGAATGTGAAGAGGAAGGTGCGGAAAATGTCCATACTCGTCTGGTTGGAGGGACTTTTTGTATGCGCATGGAAGGAACGAGATGGTGGGGCAAGTCAAACTTGTATGACAGTAGCGTCGTCTGCATGCATGGCGTGAAGGCGCGGTGACGATGCTAGTAGATAAACAAAAGCCAGAGACGTCGAATCGGCGCGTGTTTGTGCGCCGAGGTTGAGTCAGGAAGTGGAGGAGGAGGCGGTGATAGATGCGTATCACTTGTCCAACTTGAATGACTCTGCACGATAAGGCCTGGCCATGATTCGATGCGGCAGCGTCCGTAGGGAAGACTGAAATCTCGCAAGCACCAGCAGAGAAGGGGGAGGGGGAGTAGGAGGAGAAGACAAATTGAGGAGAGTGAAAGAGAGTGGAGAAGCAATTGTATTGTGATTGAGACAGTAGGAAGAGGAAATGTAAAAGATTTAAAAGAGAGCTGAGAGGTAGTCAGTAGGAAATGACGGATGAATAGGATTATTTTTTGTATGCAAATAGGCTTTAGAGGCTACCAGTAAATCAGAAATATGATTTAGTTTACGCTGATGAAGTACTGGTAGTTGAATTCTCTAAGGATCATATGAGTAGACCTTACGTTTTAATTGCTGTAGTAGTTAACGTGTCGAGATTTTACATTGCACTGGCAGGCTTCGAATGCAGATGAGAATGATGATGAAGTCAAAAATGCAGTCGACACAAATTTTGATAAGAATGATTCTTGGAAAGCAAGGATATATAAAATTCAATAAACATAGCTCAAATATATGAGTAGGATTAGCCGGAAAAAGGTGGAGGTTATAGGTGGAGAACAAGAGCACTTGGTAGAGCAAAGGAAGAGGAGGATAGTGGCAGGAAAGTGATTCGATGACTTATTAGTACATTTCTACAGTCAAAGTTTGAATGCAATTTGCTTTTGGCTTCAGATGATACAAAGCTACGAATAATGTATAGACACCAAAATGGAGGGTTTTCCACACTAAATTGGTAAAGGGAAACTTTGAAAGCACGTTTTTCTATATAGCTTGGGAAGTTAGTTGATAGAACAGAATAATGTGAAAAAAACTAACAATACTAAAAGGTAGAACAAGAAAAAATGAATATGACGAAAAAAACGAGAATAATCAAAATTAGAAGGAGGAAGAGGAGTACTGAGTAGCCGGAAGAGAAGAGAGGAGAGTGTTAGTTGAGGCGTTGGAGGAAGAGGAAGAGTGGTGGTAGAAAGGAAGAATCAAGGGAAGGAGAAGATGAAGAAGAAGAATGGGGGGAATAAATTGGAAGAATTAAAAGAGGAGAGGACGTATACTATGGCAGGTCGAGGGGGCAGAATGAGCAAAGAATTAGGAAGAGAAGTTGAGGTGGATGAGTTGGATTTGTCGGAAAGGGATAATAAAAAGATGAAGAAAGAAAAATTAGGAAGAGGGAGAGGAAGAGGGGGTGATAAAAAAGTAGACTTTTTGGAAGGATACGGAGTGAAAAGCAGTTTTTTTAGTTAAGGGAGCTGATGAAGGGAAAAAAGAAAAGACAAGTATACAGTAAATTTACAACAACTGTAAAAATTAAAGAATTAAAAAAAACGATGACAAAGAAAAAGAAGTAGTAGTGGTTGTAGAAGAAGAAAAAAAAGAAGACGAAATAAGAAATGAATCGGTCTATGAGTAGGGGCGAGTAGTAAAAGGAAGACTCTGAATTCCACTTGTGCCACTTGCCCCACCAAAAGATTCTACTTAACATTAGTGGGGGATGGGGGTGGAGTTAGTTTCAAAAGACACTTTGGCAAATCATGTCGCTCTCTCGACATTGTCTTGCGGATTACCGGCTTCTTCTTCGGCGCCTCATCGTATCATTCACGCTTGTCAAGTCAGCT